GAGATTAAAACACAGCACGGAGCATTGAAACTTAATCCCTGTCACATGCTGCATTGTTTTTGAGAAGGTGCTGGAGATAAAGTCGGAGAGAGGAGCCAACAACCTTGTATTAAAACCTATTTATTAATCAGCCTTCAGACATTCATGTGTCTCAGAACCAAAAAGCTCTTAGTCTTTAGGTGAACTGAAGGTGTACTGTCTTTTTCCTACAGCAGTAATCTATATCATTCTGCTCTTTACTAAACTGTAAACAAATTTATACTTACTGTTGACTCATAACAATAATAATGTAATAATTAATAAAATGAATAGTGTGGAAAAAAAACATTATTATATTGTGAAAAGATTATTTTGATGATTAAGTTATGTCTCAGGTTTTTGTGAAAAACTTCTACAGTGAGGATCATTTCCATTTCATTATTAAACTTTAAAGTTCCATATTTTCTTCTTCTGTGTTTTATTTAAACTGTTGATCCATAAGAAGATATATTTGTGGTTTTAACAACCTTTAACCATCTCAGTGTAGTTTTACATCTCCTCTCTCAGGCTTCTCTCTGGAGCTCTAGTAACAACAGGTCGGTGAGCCAATCAGAAGAGAGGAGGCTCTGAGCCTTGGTGACTGCTTTGTTGTGACATCACAAAGTTCCAGAAGTCCTGACGGCTGGTTTTAAGGCTCAGTTTCTGAATACAGGCTGTGTGCATTTCTCTGTGGACTGAGGCTTTGATACTTTCACAGTATTAATATAGAAGCTAGAGCTGATCTATAATCACACTACACATGGACACAGACCTTTACACTGTATGGGACCTTTAACATCACAGATTTCCATGTTGAAACAGCAGCTGAAACCAAAACTCTGACCTGTCCCTAAACTGTATTCTAATTTCTAACTTCACTTCCACTTTCAAACACTTTTTTAAGTCCTTGAATAAACTCCATTGAGTCCTCACAAAGATAGAAATAGAACCCCGCACACATATGCACAGTCAGCTGTTACAGTGAGTGTTTGATGAGGGAGTGGAGGTGCAGAGGCCTCCAGATACACAGGAAGCACACATCTCTTCCTCCTTATCGCTGCCTGCCATGTGTTTGTATGTATTTGTGTGTGTGTGTGTGTGTGTGTGTGTGTGTGTGTGTGTGTGTGTGTGTGTGTGTGTGTGTGTGCTTATGAAATAAATGTGCCAGCTGAAGTAAATGTCGGTGTATATTTCTATGCTACCAGCCAACTCATGGTGTGTGTGGGTGTGTATGGTATGTGCATTTGTGTAAGTGTGTGTTACTAATATAAGATATGAAAAGATCTATAAAGTATGACAGAAATATTTATGTATTTTAAACCGTGTGAGGGTGTGTTTGTGGGTGTGTGTGTGTGTGTGTGTCGTACATGTGTATCAAACACTGGCAGCTGATAGACAAAATGATCCAGTTAACCAGAACTAACAGAATCATGAGAGAGCCTAAATGTCAGTTTATTAAAGCATCAAGAGTCAAGCTTTGCATGATGATGTATCATGTATATTTACATTATTTACAGACCATTTTCCAAAGCATTACCATAACCTTTTAGATTTTCTACCTGTAGATTTTAACCAAGAAAACTCTGATGTTCAAGAACTCACAGTTTGCCTCCACAAAGGTTTAAAGAGTGTGATGTTTTCATATCTGATAGCCGAAGACAATTGCAGATAATTAATGATTTTCTTTTACAGTAGCATCTGTTTGCAAACTACATGACTGGACACAAAAACAAGCCAACCAAATGTTCACTGTCATAGATCCTAACCAGGTTTTACAGAAGCTACTTGTAAGTTTTGCTATTGCTATATAGCTAACGTTAGCATTAGCAGCTGTTTACTTAACAGTCTTGGCAAGAGCTTCAGCCTTTGTTGCGTTAACAACACGAGAGGTTATAATACCTCTGAGCACCCGTCCTCTTCAGGATGCTACAGTGACTCGGTATCGGAAAGTGACGAGATGGGTCAACCGGCTGGAGCTAGGTGGCTAGCATACTAACTTCAGTAGAAGAAAATTGTGATAGAAATAGAAGCAAAACAAACCTCTGGAGACAGCTGTTGGTGAGTAAAGGAATGAAGTTTGATGCTGAACTCCGAACGTTTCTTCTACACTGGTAAGTAAACAGCTGCTAATGCTAACGTCGGCTATGTAGCAATAGCAAAAACTTACAAATACCTCCTTTAAGTCTTTGTAAGTGTAATTTCTTTATCTTCTGCAATCAATATGTAGGTACATATGCACGCAAGCGACACACTCTTCCAAAACAAAACAAAGAAATTCAACGATAGTGATAACAAATGAGAAAAAGATGAGCTTCATTCAACATGAAAAAACGCTACCTAATCCCTTCAGCCATGTTTCCAGAGCAGTGGGGACTACAAATGGATGCCCACAGCTTTGGAACATGTTCAACAATCACATATTGAGGTAATGTACAGACAACATACTACATGCAACTTTACAAATGAGCCTGATAATTACCAAACAAACATCAAGAAAACAAACCAAAGGACCTCAAACACGACTTCACCTCTTTACAGGACGGCTCACACATCGCCTGAGTCAATTAAGCGGTCTCACATGAACCCTGTGTCAACGTCCCCACGGCAGGCTGATCTGGACAACTTCACAAACGCGACAACTTTGAGCTTAATTACAAGTTCAATGACTTCAGTCAGCGTTAGTGTAATTTTTTTTCACAGGGCATCATGGGAAAGCCTCTGGATGGAGCCGCTTTTAACGACTCTGTGCTTTATGTGCATTTCTGCCTGAGAATTGTCTGTGAATCTGTGATGTGGGCGTGATCATAACAGAAAAACACTCACATCACAGCAAAGAAAGAATGTGATGCTCTTGGTTTAAGCTTTACATAAGATGGTGAATTTAAAGAAAAGGACAAACAACAGCAACAGTCGTTTCAGCAATGCTTTGGTCTGTGGGGGGAACACAGACACCCATCCTGACCTCCAGATGGGTCAGATTTGAACACAGCAAACCGCTGTTTGTTCCCATTATAAGTCAACAGTTTTTTCTTTTAACCATGACCACAATCGACCAAGTGGTTATCAGTGTAACCGTGACAATAAAGGTCCCTGAATCTTAACCAAGAAATTACTTTAACCTAAATCATTATTTTCCAAGCTGTTGTGCCCATCTTAATAATGTTGTCTAAGATCAGGGAAAGACAGACATTGTCCTGTCAGAAAACACTTCTATGTATAATGCTAATCTTTACATTTCAGATATCCACAAGAGATGTGCAGTAAAAGACATAAGATGTGTCCAGATTCAGGGCCCGCATCTTTCGGAGGCTGCAGTCGAAGACCGATGGCGTATCAGTGGCGCGACTAGGCTGTCCCATTTCGAAGGTACTGTACCTTCAAATGCATCTGTCTTTTCCTGGCCCAACCTAACCCAAGATTCAGTGCGCGGTGATAATGAAAATAATATGGCAGCAAACACCACAGAGAAAGAGCCTGAGGATTACACTTTTAAATGTAAGTATTGGGTTTCCGCTCAGTTCAACAGCTAACTGTACAACTGCTAAAACTGCGCTGTGTTCATTTAAATAGTGCTTTATCTGTTAAACGTCTTTCTGTGGAGCCTGGATTAGTTTGGATGTGGAGGATCAGTAGGAATAAATAACCACGACAAGGACGAACATCTGAAAACCTGGGCAAACAAAACCAAAACTATTTGCATGTTTACTTCTTTAAAATATGAAAACACAGAAGAAACACAGAGACAAAAAGCACTAAGCTGCAGGAATAATGTGACTTAATATCTAAGTATTTAAACCTTTGTGTTTCACAGTAAACTTCACCGCAACAAACTATAACTTCAATTTTTTTTTGAATCTTTTCCTGCCTTTCATTCACTGGATTCAGATGTCACTCGCTCTCTTGTGCATCGCTAATAAACTTGCCCAAACTCACAGATGTGATGAGTCTGTTTTCAGGGGGGAAGTGTTTATTTTCACAGATGCACGTCCATCAGTCAGGACGTAAAGCAGCAGAGTCACTGATGTATGTCTCTGTGCCGGAGCCAAGTGCTTTAGTTTAAAGCCAAAACATGATACTCACCAAGTGGAGAGGGGGGAGGGGAGGAATAAGAGAGAGGAGGAGGAGGGCTTCAGAAACATTTTCTGTTACAACTGAACTAAAAAGAAAAAGAAACAACAGAGAGAAAGTCAGAAAAGAGAAGGAAAGGAAAGAGGAGAGGAGACGGGGTTTTAAAGTAGCTGTTGGGAAAGAGAGGATCCCGAGGAAGAGCAGAAAGAAAGAAAGAAAGAAAGAAAGAAAGAAAGAAAGAAAGAAAGAAAGAAAGACTAGTTTTGAGATGAGAAAGGGAAAGCATAGAGAAGATCTGGCAGGGAACGAGAGAGAACGAAGGAAAACGACACGTTAGAGATGACAGAAAAACTATGAAAGAGGAGGAGGAGGAAAGGGGTTATGAGGAAGAGTTAGTTAATGACAAGTGCTGAAAATGTTGAAGGAAAAAGAGAGAAGAGGTTAGAAAGAAAGAAGACCAGGAGAGACAGAGCAGAAATCAAGACAGAAAGAGGAGCAGCAACAGAGAAAGAGGAGATGAAGAGACAGAAAAAGGCTTGAACGCTTTAATTGAAGTTGACAAAGAGAAAAAAGCAGATTGTCAGAGTGGGAAGAGCTGAAAGAGAGAGGAGGAGAGAAACAGAGAGGAGGGAGTGGAGAAGAAGCTGAGGGGGAGAGAGAGAGGAGAGGAGGGAGAGGAGAGCTGGAAAGTAAAGTGTGTGACAGAGGAAGAGAGAGCAGGACATGAGGAGGAGTGAGGAAGAGCAGAGAAAGAAAAGAGAAGAAGAAGAAAACGGGGGGGGGGGGGCTTAATTTCCAGTTTTTTCTGACGTCGTTGTGAAACCCTCTCAAGCTGCTGCTGCAAGACTGAACACTATCAGGACCGAGCAGACTGCTGCCAAACCCACTGACACACACACACACACACCCACACACACACACACACGTATATAGGAAGCGAAGGAGCTCCCCAGCAGTGTTGGATATGACTCGTCGGCTGTCGGAGTGACAGTTGGGAATAAACCAGTTCTTCATCCAGTCAGGTGAGTTTAATCTGCTTTTAATGGCTCTAATGGATCGTTTAGGGTTTTATTATTTAATTCAGATTTAAAGAGGAGATTTAATGTCTTGACTTGTTCTGAGACAAACTGAATAAACTTTTATTAAAATGAAGGATATTCTTCTTAAAAAGCTGTTTTAGGAAACGGATTAAACTGTTAAAGACAGAGTAAGTGAGCAGTCTCTACTCATGTTAGCTGTTTATATCACTGGATTAAAACTGGAGTTAGTAATTTGACTGGTTGCCGTGGCATTTAGGAAGAAACTGACTGTTTATCTCGAGATGTTAATGGAGCGGCTGAGTTTGGAAAAATGCAGTTTGAGTCTGGTTCACAGACACAGGTGAGACCTAGTGTGGACCACTATCTGTTGTCATTGTGAAGAAACAGAGAAGAAATACAGTATTTTTATTTAAGGTTTTCTTTTATGATATAACTGCAAAACTAAGAGAGGGAACTTGCTGCAACTCTGACCAAGAGGGGACCTCCACAGCTTTGACAGTCCAGGTGCTGAACCCAGGCAGGATTTGAACCAGACTCTGCACCAGTGGTGATTTAGGGTCGCAGTCGAACCCTCCACAGGACTGATCGGACTGGAAGTTTTTCAGTATTTACTTTGGGAGTTGGGCTTTAACTTCGACTTAGGCCAGAGAGATCGAAGTGGGGAGTTATGTGGTAGAAAAACCATATTTTGCTGCAACATAGGGAACATATTTAATATGACTATGACTGTCTTCACACTGCTGCTGCAGATGCATGTTGGGAACTGCTTCAGCCTCAAGAGGAAGTGCTGAGGATAAACTCTAACGCTGCAGGTATCCTCTTGGCTAAAAGTAAAATCAACTCCAGCTGGATGTTGTTGTTCTGTGGCTGCATTAGTAACACATCTGTCCTGATCCACGTTGTTTTGCTGAGCAGCAATAAAAAGTTTTTTTGTTGTTTCGGTTTATTTTAAGAGCTGAATTTTCATCTCCACAGACGAACGTCAGCGACACGAATCCGCTCGTAGAAACTCTGAACTCAGTTCACTGTGGTTCAGTTTTACAGCGTCCATCAGCTGTTCACTCACTTACTGACACTCTAATGTTTTAACTCTAAGTTTAACTTAAGTGCTGAAGTGTTGAAAGAAGATTCGGATGCAAAGAATTGGAAAAATACACAAAATTCTTAAAATAGATGTTACCTTTGCCCTTTGTGTTGAGACTGGGTCACGGAGGTCATTCTGAGATCAGGTGGAGACTGTAGAGGTGTCCATCTCTTCCATATGACATCACTCATCATCATAGCAGCGGCTCAGTCAGACAGGTGAAAGAACTAAAAGACAAACAGGTAAAATAAAAGCAAAGTTAACTGTGTTGATGAGGGGATAGGGAGCAGGTGAACAGGTGGATGTAGAGGTCAGGTGATAATGAGAGGTGGGCAGAGGGGGAAGTGTCACCTCTGGAGTCACAGCAGAGTAAAGCAGTGTAAGTCAAACAGCACTGATTTCTACATTTATTTGCACTTTTTGTCTTTTCTTGCCTCTTTATCCTTTTTCCTCTTTTTCTGAGATTTCAGTTTCTCTCTTCAAAACTCAGTCACTTTAAGAAATCCCTTGTTTCTGGTTTGTGAGAGAGAGATTTGCACTGCTATAACCTGATTACTCAAAAACCCACATTTACAAACAACTAATCAGTAATCATACATGACTCTGCATCCTGGAGGCTTTTCTTCCATGTTGGAGCGTTTTTGACTTGTAGACATGTTTCCTTTTAGTTTCAGTTTCAGGTTCAGTCAGATTGGATTACTTTAGATGCGTGGCCACATCACGATCACACACTGTGCTGCTGGTCAGGGATTCACTGTCTGATGTCTTTGTCCTGCAGTAAAAACAGAAACCTCTTCTCTTCTGCTCTTTTGTGTCCTATCCTGTCTCATCTGTCCTTCATCGTCTCCTCTTCTTCATCCCCCCAATGCCTGCCACTTGGTTTTGCTCTCGGAGCCACGTGAGCATCAGTTTCTCATGAACCCCTGAGTGAGTGCAGCTCAAACTGTCGAGCTGCCAGAGAAAACATCAACACAACAAGCCAGGTCAGGGTCTGCTGCTCGCTCACCCTCACCCCTCTCTCTCTTTCTGTCTCTGCCTCCCCCTCCTCAGTTTCTTTCTGTCTCTCTCTCTCTTTTCTCTCCCACCATCGATCCTTTTAGTTGCCCAGTCCTGCTGCAGTTCAAGGTTCCCTGAGTTCATGGTTTGGCTTCGTGGGTCATTGTGGACTCAGTGGGAGGTCAGTGGTTCAATTGTGGTTGAATTACATGCGAACACGTTTTTTCCCTGAGGAACGTGTTTGTGCGAGCGGATCGAGACACTCGCTAACAATAAGAGAGCTGGCGGAGCCGCCTCTGTTGTTCAGCCGGGTGTGAATCTGGTAGTAACCAGTAACTGGTTCAGACGGCTCCACAATGGCTCCGTCGGCAAAGAAGATGCCGAAACATTAGAAACGATTGTGGCCATTGTGAGATTAATGGCATTTGTCTTTGTGGTCTAATGAAGCGTGCAGATGTTCAGTGTTGTAGTATTTATGGTTTTATTGTCAGCATGACACACACTGTGTGTGTGTGTGTGTGTGTGTGTGTGTGTGTGTGTGTGTGTGTGTGTGTGTGTGTGTGTGTGTGTGTGTGTGTGTGTGTGTGTCGACACCACAGAAAGGACGTATTTTTTACACTTTAATGAAGTGTGTAAGTGCTTTTGAACGGTGGTTAAGTCTCTTTTTGTTCTGTATACACTCTATACTGCAACTGTAATCTATCTAATCTCTTTAGCTCTGGTCTTTCTATTCTATAATGTAATGTATATAATATATACTGGTGGATTTAAAAGGGACAGTTTGTAACTTCTGCCGTTAGGGGGCTCTCAATCAAAACAATAACTAAATACGGCGTTGGGTGAAGCATGATCATGCGTGGGATCATGGGAGTTGCTGTCAGCTTCTCCTGTTTTGGATTCCTTCAGTGTTAGTGGTTCAGCGATTCACCAACTCTCTTTGGCGAACACAGGACATCTTGGAGCTGAGCTAACCAACATTTCCTCAGCTTGTTTCGATGATAACTTCAGATCCAGATCCAAGTCCGATGACTAAAATCCTTCATTTGGTTCAAATATATAGTTGAAAAAAAGGTGTAAAAATTATATCTTTAAAAATTTGACTTAAAAACTGGATAAAAGTCAATTTTGACACCCCCATGCTGATGCATGCACATAGAGGATATGATGTCATTGACATGTGACCAAAGAAATGGAGCGTTACCATGATTAAGATCACAGATCTCTCTGGTTTGAGAATTGAAAGAAACATTTGGGAAAATGTAACTCCACAACATACAGAACATAGATCTAGATGTTTTTAGACATTTTAAAAAGTTACAGATTGAAAAACTTTAAGTGAATTGATTTGAACTCAGCTGCAGGACGTGTGAGTGTGTTGAGGAAAACAGTGTCCAGTTGTAAAATGGTCTTGGTGGTCTAATTAGTGGTGCTACATGTTTTACATCAACAACATCCCCACCTCATTAATTCAGACACATTAGCATAATTATTGTAAACAAACAGGAGCCCCGCTGAGAAGACTCTCAGCCTGTTGTCGGCTCTGCACTGGAGTTTACTTGGATTTTAATCGATTTCTGTTTTTGTCATAACGGCGTCAGAGGGTGAAGAGAGATGAAACTAACTGATGCTGACGGAGTGGAAGGTGGAAAACAGACATTTCGTTTGTCCTGAGATGTTTTTCCACGCTACAAGTTTAACAGGAGCTGCTTAATTTAAAGGAGCAGAAGCATTAATGTCATTATTCTGAACATTACACTGAGCTGGTAGTTCAACACAGAGGTCAGGACTTTAGATGCGACTTATCAAGCTAACAATCTCACAACACTGACTTGAATTTAGCGAGAGAAGACGTTGCTTTATAGCTGAGAGTTAAATAGCTGTAAGGTGTGCTACATGCACTAATCTGAGGTGGTTACTCTGTGTGTGTGTGTGTGTGTGTGTGTGTGTGTGTGTGTGTGTGTGTGTGTGTGTGTGTGTGTGTGTGTGTGTGTGTGTGTGTGTATGCGTGCTCAGATTTACAGCCTCAGTGATTTATAGCAACAAGCTCATCCTGTCAACAAAGCAGCTCTGTTCCCTGATGCCTTCCACCCCATTTATTATCCTTAAACACACACACACACACACACACACACACACACACATTACATACACCTATGCTGCTTCCAATTAGTCACATGACATCATCCAACATACACTCATGCGAGCACAGACGCGCAGCGAGCCGATCTGTGACCTGCAGGTCCACAAAGCCTCTGGAGAAATGATGGACTGAGAGAAGAATCCGCATCAGGATGAAATCGAGTCCTGCTGCTCCAGACCTGGACTCTCTGGATCTCCTTTCACTAGACGGGATCATTTCACATGTTTAGCTCTGGCGAGAAGAAAGCATCATAAAGCTGCATCATTTGCTAACAAATAACATCAAGTGCGGATTCAGGGCGGTGATCCAGAGGAGCAGATGCGATGGCAGGACCGCGCTGCGCCTGATTAACTGCAGCTCAGCAACATGTTCAGTTCTTTCCAGACACGCTGGAGCAGGTTCAGCCAAAAGGAAGATCTCTGAATCTGCAACGAGCCCCCGTTTAACTCCTGGAAAAACTGCTACTGCTGTGATTAGAGGTGGTCGACGCAATCCGCAGATTGTTCTGTAAAAGTGTAGATTTTCTCCAAGGCAGTGACACCTCACAGAGAAGACTGAGTTTCTTGCCCTCTGCTGTGAGATGAACACATCTGAATCTGGTTCAATGCAAGAACTCAACGCAAGAACTGAGAATAAGTAATTCCTGCTTTTGATTTTAACATTATATCGTATATTTTGCTTCTAATGCAGCTGCTGCCTTTGGTGCAACAGAGGGAAACAGAACTGATTTTAACTGGATGTTATCTGCACTTTCAGTCCTGT